CGAAAATTTAAAGTAAGTCACACAGGATATCTCCTCTTTACTCTTCTGATGCAAGATTTCAGAACAAAGTGAAAAACAAACAATGGCATAAAATATTATGAATATGTCGGGTAGTAATAGATTTATTTATTTTCTTCTCAGAGTGTACCAGAATGCATAGTTTATAGGTTTGAATGTCTAAAAATCTCCGGGGGGAGAATCCCCCTTGACCCCCCTTCTGGGGTTGGGTTTTCAGCATGTGTGCCTTTCTATGTTATATAGTTCAGCTTTGATACCATCATCTCAGTAAACCTTTTTAAAAGCATACTTTAAGTTCTGTGAAGGGATATAAGGGATATATGCACTGTACTTCACTTGTATTAATATTGTGTGCTGAAAAGCGTATATATTACAGCACATTTCTTTGTTGAATAGATTTGATTGCTTCAAAATGTTGGGTCGCCATGTTTTGACGAAGTAAAAAGTGGGTCTCGATCATGGTCCCGACTCCCGAGGCCTGACCAATTGAGAACCACTGGACTAAAGGACGGGGCAGGCAATCAGGTCAGTTAAAACACTGACATGGTAGGAGTCGAACTACCGGAAATGAGAGAAGAGATTAACAGAGTAAAAAAGGAAATGACAGACAACAAAAAAGGGTTAGCAGACGCGGACTTGACAATATTAACTAAACAGAAATAATAATAACACATCTGACAAGACACAACACACACGCGTGTCACCAATACAAAAACAACAACCCACAAGTATTATCTTTATTTCGAGCTTTCAATGCAATCAAAGCAGCCTGTCCAGGAGGAAAACAAGGCAGAGTATTTTATGCTGATGCTGTATTGCAAACTGGATCAGGCTTAATTGTAAGGTCAAAGGAGTCAATTGTTGTAAAGACCCCTTAAGAAAACCTAATTTTAGAGACAACGTGGAAACATTTACCTTGTGGTCTGTAAAATGGATACATTTTGTCTTGCCTTTAGCCTTTTTAACATTGAACAATACACCCGTGTTTGTACTCCATTGCTGGAACTTATAATGGAATTACTTTGTTTGTTTAAAGTTGAATCATTGTGCAGAGTTAGGCATTTAGCACGTAAACACACGGGACCACAGACAACCGGTCGGTCTGCATTGAGATGCGGACAGAAGGTGGAAAGGTACCAACATGTGTCAAATCCAGTCAGTCAGAAATATGCCAGCAGTTTCCTGATCTTGCCTTCAAAATAATGCAAAGAAAATAATTTGATATACGATTGAAGATGTAACAAATTGGAACCTTCCACCCTACTTTCTTCACAATCAATGTCTTTGGAATGACACTATTAATTTGAGTTCAACTTAATTTGACTAGTGTAGCAATTCTAATTTAGTAGGCTACGAAAGTGACCTATAGGTTGTTGTTTTATTTACATTTTTGTTTATTCGATATTAGTTGATCATGATTCATTATCCTACAGATTCCCATCGACATTTAGGTAAAACATTTTTTTTGCCAGTTTCTGAGATTCCCTGTCATTGTAAGCCAAAAAGCTACTTGAATATGCAAATTAGCAAAGTTTAGATGACTGAAAAGTAACGTTTAATGACAGCTTGAGTTTAAACCAGACAATTGTCAGAACTAAACTGAGGCAAATACAAGCTTTTATTTTGAAAGTGTTATTCCGGATGTTTAGATATCCCTCCCCTTTACACAGGTGCATCAAACAGGGAGATAATTACCAACGTGAGTCCATACCGAGCAGACGCGTTTTTACTACAAAACAACCTTTATCATGCAAAAATATAATCCATGGAGAAAATAATGCGCTTTTAATTCATCATTTAATATTTAAGCAACTTTACAAACCATGAGAGGAGACACAACTAAGGTAAATCTTGAGTTAATTAAATCTCGTATGAATCGTGTGCGAATCATACAAGGTTTTTTTATGTTACTAGAATAAGGATTGTTTAAAATTGTGTTTGAAGCGTTTCTTTTGGGTTATTTGTATTTATTTTTTTAACTTTTTTTTGTAAGGATGAAATGGACGCGGCGGATGAACACGGAGGAAGTGCAGAGGCTGCAACCGGAGAAAGAAGATCTGTAAGTACTTTTAAATAACATTTGTGGGTAACAAAGTTGAAGTTTTGATGGTGGTTTGGAATCTTTAGTTCTAGAAATATCCCAGCAAACACAGCAACCTAAATTCCACCATCTTTTTCCACGTTTCAATTGTTATTGTAAGGGCTCAAAGTGAAGCTTATTTTCCTGTACTCAGGGCCGGCTTTAGACAATTTGCTGCCATAGACAAGATTTTAGCTGGCGCCCCCGCCCCACCCATATGAAAAATATCGGTTTACATTTGAATAATCAATAAGTATGTGAACATAACCAATAACCTGCAAACAGGAACAAACAGGTGGGAGGACGCTGATAACTGCAGATTTCAGCTTATTTTATACACAAAAGTACAGGTTAAAAAGTACTACCAGGTCACTGTATTTCCCAAGGTACTATTAATACTTCCTACAACCAGTGCGGAACATCTTGTTTACATTGCTGACATGACACATGACTTTCATATCACTTATCGCATATTTCAAATCTTTGTGTTCCCACGTTTTCCTTCACACATATTTCTTGTTGTTTATTAAGTTTAACATTTGTTTGGTTCACAGGACGATCAGTTCCTTATTGATCTCGCAGATGTGACAGACAAACAGCAGCTAAACATCGGACAGGTGAGACTCAACATCTGCACAGGACAACATGTAGTACAACCTAGAGAAATAACACCTAAGTTTAATCAGAAATGTGTATAATTTGCCGTAAAAAATATTTATGAAATGTTTTTAAGATCTTGTTACTGCTGCGGCACATGATGAATCCACACCCTGTCTGTTGTTTTGTTTGCTTGAAGCACAATCTAATGAACTGTTAAGGTAGGTGTGTTTCCATGTAAGCCTCTGACTAGACCTAAAAAATAACTTGGCATGTGAAAAGGATGAAGTAAGTTTAGGGTGTGTTTTCATGTTTGAAATTATCTAATCGGGCTCTAATTAGCTAGAACATAGGCTGGGGAGTTACCTAATGCTGTCTGAGAGCCTTTGTTATACTTTGAATTGTGCCTGCCCTTATTTTGAAATTAATTTAACTTAACCTAACATTTCTGCTGTGTCATTGTCTTTATTATTTCAGAGTCTAGGGCAGGAAACTCCCCATTTAAATCCCCAGGTAATGTTTCAGATGCCTGTTTAACTGGGTTCAAGCTTTCTGTCAACAATCCAAGTGAAATCGAACACTTCTTATATTTAATTTCCCTTTCTTTGTTTATCAGAATGAAGTCAGTGGGGGTTTGGCCAGAAGTAACCCTTTTTACAATAATGATTTGGTAAATACAAGGACTCCTGCTTCTAAAACCACATCACAACTTCCTCTTAACTATTTGAATTGTCATTAAGCTTGTTCCTAATTACATTTATGTTCTGCTATCAGGGATCTGGTCATGTGATGGAGGACGAACGGAGGAAGACTTCAGAAGCAGTAAACCTTGAGGCCATCTTTGTCCCTCCGCCTGAATTTCAGAGTTCACCTCTGGATCTTCAGCCTGAAAAAAGTACTGGAAATGGAGCTGAATTTTCTGAACTTCCAAAGGACCTATTCCAGACCGTTGCCCCTAACCGTGTGCAAAGCCACTTCCAGACACCGACATTGGCCCAAAATGCATCTGCCAACGGCCATTTTCTTGACAAAACTCTGAACTCGCCAGACATATTCAAACCTTTACCCTCTGAAACACGATATGAAGGGGTCGATCTTTTCCAGGCTGCTAAAGGAGATGATTTATTCAATGCTACATGCACAAGTGAGGTTAACCTCTTTAAAAAACCTTTCAGTGTTTTTGAGGATCCATTTGAATCTCCTACAAACAAGGGGGAAGATCTGTTCCAGTCTTCACAGCCAAACATAGCAAACCCATCGCCATTAACCGAAGAGGCGGATTCGATTCGGGAAGTTCCGAATAGAAATGGGGAACGCTTCCACATCGGGGAAAACAAACAAGATAACTTTATGAAAGAGGACATTTTTGGCTTGTCTTCTTTTAAGGAAAATCTGGATGTATTCTCACCTTCATCCACAAATTCAGTCGATCCATTCCCAAGCCCGATTACAAGGGATTTATTCCAAGACGTTTCCAGTTTGGAAGACCCGTTTGGCCCCACACCCGTGAGATCAAATGATCCTTTCCAAGATTTTTCACCTTGGACTCCAGATATCTTCCAACCACTTCCCTCGAAGACCAACAGCATGGATGTTTTTGGGATGGCTTTCAGCAATACTGCCCCTAAAGCAGTTTACTCCAAGTCGTCTGTTAGCAGCCCATCAGACATGAAGTTGGACATGCTATCGTCACCAGATCTGTTCAAGAAAACGGCAATAAAAGCTCCTCCTCCAGCGGTCAGGCCGAAGCCGTCCATCAGGCAACACGATATTATCTTGACGACCCCCCAGGGGAGCACGCATGATATTCTTCAGCCGAGTCCCTTCAGTCGGGCCAGGAATCTGTCCATGACACCAAGCCAGTCTGCAGCGGAAAAGACTCATGTATGTACCAGTGGATATTTAGATAACCATCAAATCATTTACATTGTAGTTCATTGCATTCTAAAGCAGGGGTGTCAAACTCAAGGCCCGCGGGCCAAATCTGACCTACAACCTCATTTTATGTGGCCCGCAAGAGCTCGCAAAGAATATAATACGTTTATTATACGGTTACATTGATTCTTGAATCTACATGCCGCTTTACAGAAGTACATTGCCGATAAACTACATGTCCCACAATGCATCTCGTTTTGTGATATGCCACTGAAGAGACTTGCAATTATTTCCCCTAGACTTCTGCTTTCAGACGTAGTTAATTATGAAGTTATTACCCTATCCAATAATAATCCAATGGGGCAATAATGTAATATACTACATTATTTGATATATATTTATATATTTTTATATAGTCTCGAAATTACAACTGGCCCTTTGAATCCAACCATAATGCTGATGTGGCCGCGATGAAATTGAGTTTGATACCCCTGTTTTAAGGGTCCCACTGTTCTGTCTAGTTCATAATTGCTCTAATACATATTTTCATCATTCCTTTTATAATCAAACTTGCAGGTTTCCAACTTCAAACGTCCACCAAAGCCACTCCCTCGAACTAGACCACCAAGGACAGAAAAGACACCCCTAGCAGAAAAGCTACCAAAACCAGAACGGCCGCCACCACCGACAAACCATGTACGCAAAGAACACAATTCAGTCTCATGTTTTTGTTTCTCTGCTTGTTTAACTGTCTGCTACTTCACACTCTGTGCTGCTAGTAACCCTATTTGCCTCTTTGGGACTAGATTGAAACAACAGATAAGCCTGAAAAACCAGAAAGGCCGCCAGCACCAGCAAACCCTGTATGTAAAGAAGACAGTTTTACATAATGATCTTATTTCTCTACTACTGCAATTACTGAACTGTTAAAATCCTTTTTGTTTGACCTCTTTTGGATTATTTTTAGATTGCACCTGAAGCTATTGTACCGAAAACCTCTCCCAAAACCGCCTTCAGACCGCTTTCGAAACCAACACCTCTGGTATGTACGCTTTTGTTTTCACTTTGATAGTTGACCTAATTATCTTACATCTCTAGGATATCGGTCCAAATCTGTAATGAGGAACAATGTAACATGTGTGGGTGGTTTGACGATTGAACAACAACTTTATTTTTCAAATATGTATTTTCTATTGTTATTGCAGGAGGAAACTAAAGCATTTGAAAAGGAAAACTTTGCTGTCTTTGAGGACATCCTGCTAATGGGACAGGTGAGTTTGAAGTGTTTTTCAATATCGGCATCTGTCATGCAATAGGAAATGTTAACTTGATGTTAGTATAAGAGGAAAATATAGTCAGAAAATGGCAATCATGAGGAAGCTACTCCCGTCGAGGCATTGTTGGATTTGTTGGACGTCATGAAATATTTTGTTACAGGAAAGATGTATTGAGGACTGGCCTGAAGACAGCCCTCAGCTTAACCCTCAATTCAAACCAGTAAGAACACATTTTAATCACGTTTTATCTAAATGTTATTTTAAAGACATTTCAGCAACTGAATTGTGTTTTTTTGTTTTTTCTCTTTAAAGTCTGGAACATTAAGACTACGACGAGAATCAATGAGAGTAAGGCGCTCGTTATTCTATAGTTGTTTGATTGTGAGAAGAGATTAAACACTAAGTCAATCTTATTTTTCTCTTAGATTAAGTTGGACTCTGAAGGAGGAAGTGTTGAGGATCTGGACGGTTTTGGGGTCAAGGTAACTCTACACCAGTTTCACTCAAAACGCAATTTTTAGACAATCTATGTTTTTATCTTGTGTTTATACATGTTTTCTTTTAACAGACAAAGGCCAAAAAGTTCAGGTTGTCCATACTTTCCAGAAAAAGTTCGAAGGTAAATGACTCAACACAAAATAAGTGAAGTGTTCTTAATGTGTTTACCTGTCAGTCTTTGTAATATTAATCATTTTCCGTTTGGAGAAGATTTCTGAGAAGCGGAGAAGCAGCACAATACCCGCCCTCAGAAAATCATCAAAGGTATCAAAATGAATGTTGTTAGCATCTGTAATTCTGGATTTAACATTCTCTACTCTATCTAGATCAGGGGTTCCCAACCTTTTTTCCCTAACGAGCCTCCCCAATGGCTCCTCGTTGGAAGTTGCGCCCCGGTGTGTGTGTGTGGGGGGGGTGGGGCTGTATGAAGAAATTAAAGGACGGCGCAAGTGGAAACAATTCACAGAGGGAGTAAACTGTTTAAAACACATGCTCAAAGTAAGCCGGATTTTGGCGATGTGATTATGTGGATTAAAAAATCGTAAATAATCTACAAAATGGAGGAGACCGATCTGATCGGAGCAACTGACAAGACTGTGACAAATAATCCAACTGAAACCGGCATGGACAATGACTATGTTTTAAAAATGCGC